TCTATCTCGGGGCATGTGTGCATGCGTGCACATGCTATCCGCCGCTCTCCTTGCCTGCCTGCCTACCTGTCTCCGCCTGTCTATCTGTCCATCCATCCGCTATCCATCCTCTATCCCTCCGGGGTCAGGCTGGCCTGCCAATTGGTGGGTCAATTGATCACTCAGTTGGGGAGGTGGGCTGTCCGTCTGGAATGATCTACGGGTGTGATGGGGGGTGGGCGATCAGTTGGGCCAGCGGGGGAGGCAGGTGGTCGAGCCGGGTGGTGGGTCAGCCACATTCAATAAGTCCATTGGTCAGTACACGGGCCGGTCCACCACTCGCCTGCTCACCTGCCAGTTTGTCAGTTTGTCCATTTGCATCCCTGCTCATCTGCCTGCTCTGTCACCGGTCTGTGCACTTGCCTGCTCATTTGCCGAGACTGCTGACCTGCCAGCTGAGACGGCCCCTGCCTACTGGTTTGCCCACATTCCTGCCTTCCCGGCGCCCACCATCTCCCTGCATAACTGTTTTTTCTTACCCCGTCTCCCTCTTTGCGGCTGTCTCCTTCCGCATGGCAGTTTGATTTTCTGTGTGTTCTTGCCCTCAGACCAAGGCTTTTTTTTTTTCACAAAAAAACGGCATTTTATTAAATTATTGAAATTCGAGGCTGGGGACCTCACAATTCCACCCGGAGTTATCTTGGCAGCATTAGCCAGTTTCGCTTATAATTGTTCCTTTAAAAAAAAAAAAAAAAAAAAAAGAAGACAAAACCCCAGAAAGTGAGAGACCGCTGGGCAGATTAACACTACATCTGCTTCCTACATGCCTCCTCCTCTCAGCTATTCGAGCTGTCGGCTATCTTTTAAGCTCTAGAGTAGCAAGGCTGTGTCTTCCGGTTTCTAGCCTCGTAGACCAACCCTTGAGGGTCGAAGCAATGGGGTTGTTCCTCCAAGTTTGGATCTTTTGCTTGTTAAACCCTAAATCTTGTCTGAGGACTCCTTCAGACCCAGGTTTCTTTCTCCTTTCGTGTCTATTTTCTACTACTCTCCCTCTGTCAATTTTGTCTGAGGACTCCTTCAGACCCAGGTTTCTTTCTCCTTTCGTGTCTATTTTCTACTACTCTCCCTCTGTCAATTTTCTACTACGGGTTTCTATGCTCATATGCTGCATTCCAAGCTTACTTTATCCGTCCATGCTATGGTCGTGTGCTCTTTTACATATATATATGTTGTGGGTGAGTGATAGTCTACTTTGATTTTGGTTAAGGTAGATTATCATTTACAGTGTAATCAGTGAGGGGATTCTGCAGACTGTTGAGGGTTCAGCCTCCTGATGAGTCGGTGAAACTCCGACGAAACAGTTTGCCACAGCCCCTCGTTTGTTGTCCTCTTCTCTCTCTCTGCCTACGGTTTTACCGGGCAGTTCTGTTTGTGACGATATATATGATATATATATATATATATATATATATATATATATTGTCACAAAACTATTGACTAAGAGCATGAGCACGTGAAGTAGAAGAAGAAATAAGATGATCAAAGAAAAGAAAATGAAAGGACAGACAGGCAAAGAAGGCAAAGAGAAAGACAAACCAGAATGACAAAAAAATATTTACACTGAATCAAAGGATAAAAACCGAAAACAAAGACACGTTGAAATCATTCAGTTTCTCAGTCTTCTTAACGCCTCCTCCACTGTGCGTCTAACGTACAAGGCTCGCCACGTTGATGAAGTTGAGCGCGAACTGCCCCCATCCCCGTATGCCATAACAGCCACTTGCACGCTATGGGAAAGAGGCAGAGTGAAGGAAGAGGTGTCAAACACAAGGGAGAGAGGAGCAGAAAAGGAAAATCGATAGGCAGAGGGAGAAAAAAATAAAAATAAAATAAGGGTGACACAAACATCTTCTTTCTTTTACTGCATTCTTCTTTCTTTCACAGTTTTGCAGTTTTGGTGAAGAGTCTACCACGTTCATTTTTCAGCGCACCTGCACATCCTTCTTCATTTTTTATTCTCATTTTCACCCTTCGGACTTTTTCTTTGAGGGTGTTATGGTGCAGGGTACAAACAAAGTAAAATGACACAAACT